TTTTTCTAAAATATTTGTTTTTTAAATTTTCATATTTTAAATTATATTTTATATTATATATTATTATTATATATTTCATTATATATTTGAAAAAATGAATTACTAATTTTATTCATGAAAACCTTATAATATGTGTAATTATTAATAAATATCTTTATTAGACTTGATTACTGGTAAGTTAAGAAATTAAACACCAAATAATATAAAAATCTTGACAGTGGACAAATCGGTATCGAAAAATTGTTATGTAATAAGTTAAGATTTTCAACACTAAGAGAAAATTAAAAAAAATAAATAATAATCAAATTTAAATCAATATTCATAAAATAAAAAAGTCTGATTTATTCGTTAAAAATGTATTTATAATTACGTCTATCGACTTGTTTTGCATAATTAATATTGATATTTTAGTTTGGGAGATCAAAAGTTGATTTGTTGATCCCAATTAAAAAAAAAACCCATCACAGGGGGGTCGCGGCACAGTGGTGACGTGGCATAGTTGGATCAAGTATAATGATATCTGACAGTGATTAAAATCACTATCAAAAATAAACGCTTCGATGCAAATCTTTAGATAGTGTTTAATTTTAAAAAAATTGGTGTTTTATTCCAAAAGCTACTTGATCTGCTGGTTCCTTATTAATATCTCGATTAAGATAAAGTATGTCGAATGAAAAAGGGTTTATTAAAAAATATTATTTCTCATAAAAAAATTGTGTGGATCCATAAACTTTTCAATAAGTTATAGCATTATAAAGTTAAATATAATATAAATAATAAAATCGAGAATTTTCACACGAAAATAGCATTCGGTAGCCATTTTCGCCGTGAAGACAAGTCCAGAGGTCAAATTTTTTTTTTTCAAATTAAAGTATATTACATTAGCTTTAATTTAAGATATATATAAAAGTGTTAGACCTTCCGGAACATTTTCAAAAGTTATGTTGAAAAAGTAAATTTTTTGTGAAAAAGTTGTCATTTTAAATNTAATTTTTTGTAAAAAAGTTACCATTTTGAAACCCTTCCTGTGAGCTGTTAAAGAGTCAAATGTTCACAAAATTATATAAAATGATAGGTAAATATCTAAGATATCTATAAAAAAAAAATATATATTCATTTGGTCATTTTTAAAAAAGTTAGAGCATTATTAAGTTAAAAATATAAAAAAAAATTATTTTACAAAAATCGTAATTTTTTATTAACTTTGATGTCAACTTTCACCACGAAGACAAGTCCAGAGGTCAAATTTTTTTTTTTCAAATTAAAGTATATTACATTAGCTTTAATTTAAGATATATATAAAAGTGTCAGACCTTCCGGAACACTTTCAAAAGTTAAGTTGAAAAAGTTCTACTTTCTATATGCATTTTTTATATTTGAAGCCCCCCCATATATAGGGAAATAGTCTGATTTAAAAAAAAAGTATATCCAATGAAAGATGTATATAAATACTACTTCTCATGAAAAAATTGTATTGATCCATACATTTTTTAAAAAGTTATAGCACTTTAAAGTAAAAAATGTAAATTATAAAATCGAAAATTTTCACACAAAAATAGCATTCGGTAGCCGTTTTCACCATGAAGACAAGTCCAGAGGCTCAAATTTTTTTTTTCACATTAAAGTATATTACATAAGCTTCAATTTAAGATATATATAAAAGTGTCAAACCTTCCGGAACACTTTCAAAAGTTCTACTTTCTATATGCATTTTTTATATTTGAAGCCCCCCATATATAGGGAAATAGTCTGATTTAAAAAAAAAGTATATCCAATGAAAGATGTATATAAATACTACTTCTCATGAAAAAATTGTATTGATCCATACATTTTTTAAAAAGTTATAGCACTTTAAAGTAAAAAATGTAAATTATAAAATCGAAAATTTTCACACAAAAATAGCATTCGGTAGCGAACGGCCGTTTGAAGACAAGTCCAGAGATCAAATTTTTTTTTTTCAAATTAAAGTACATTACATTAGCTTTAATTTAAGATATATATAAAAGTGTCAGACCTTCCGGAACATTTTCAAAAGTTAAGTTGAAAAAGTTAATTTTTTGTGAAAAAGTTGTCATTTTAAATCCCCCCCTGTGGGCAGGTTAAGTGTCAGATTTACAAAAAAAATATACCAAATGATAGGTAAAGACATCAAGCATCTATATAAAAAAAAATTATATTGATATGTTCATTTTTGAAAAAGTTACGGCAGTTTTTAGTAAAAAAAATTGAAAAAATTTCGAAAATTAGCGATTTTTAAATTTGTAATTTTTTTGGAGGTTTCCCCCATTTACGGGGAACGAGGGAAATTTTTTCAATTTTGAAGGGTAATATCTTCGACTAGATACAATTTGTGATCTTTTGACGTATCGTTGAAAGAAATCTGTTCGGTGAGTGCTGAGAAAAAGTGGTAAGACACAAAAAAAAAAAAAAAACACATTATAGTAAAACCAATACCTTCTCAGCTTCGCATCGAAGCTAAAACACATGTTTTATCGAATTTGTATTTAAAACGAAAAGTTTCATTTAAATCAAATAAGCAATCGCCTTTTAGTAATAACTGGTTCTTATCTTAATTTGCGCTAACGGCGTTAGCCGTACATCAATAATCGTGACTATTACTTGAATATCGGTAAACTGGACAGTTATTATTAAATATTTAATATTTCCGAGAGGATATATAGCGCTGTCTTTACGTTTATAAATTAACAAAAAATCGGTTGCCAATTGTCTGAATGCCGTGGCCTATCTCTATGTGTATTTAATCTATGTAGTCTGTTATAGACATAAATCTTATAAACATGGATAAAACATTCGTATTTGAGGCCCTTGTGTTTTTGCGGTCCTGAGCTGATAAGAAATTGAGGCCGTTTGTTTACATTTTAATTATAATGAGCACATAATATACTGTTTTAGCTTCGATGCGAAGCTGGAAGGTATTAATTTTACTATAATGTGTTTTTTCTTTGTGTTTGTTACCACTCTTTCTCAGCTCTCACCGAACTGATTTCTTTAAATAAAATGTAAAAAAAAATTTAAGATAGCTATTTTGTAGAGTAGAATTTAAAAAAAATTTTAGTAAAAATATATCTTATTAATATTCAGTAGCGTTTTGAAGTTAGTGAAAATTTGAATTTTCATGTACTATTTTACGGTATTAAACATTGAAATACGTATTGAGAAAAGGACAGAAGAAAACGCTATCTTTTCATGATTACTGTGTATACATATGATGATAGTGTGTATACATTACAAACTTGGCATAAATACCATGATAAGAAATTAGATAAGGCAATTATTACTTATCACTCTCATTCAAAAGTATATTGAAAAGATAGCGTTTTCTTCTGTCCTTTTCTCAATACGTATTTCAATTAGTGATGGGAATTTCGGGTCAATCGAACGATCCGGATCATTTTGATCGGATCGTTCAAATGACCCGTTCATATAACTCGTTCTTTCGTTCATTTCTTGCGATCGGTCACGGTTCTTATCAATTACTCCTTACTATGGTTATCCTGAACGAGTCGTTCAAATTCGCATTTTCAACATGTAACATTACCATGATATCAGAATTTTTACTGATAATACACTTGTATAACCCAATCGGGTTATATATTATTTTTTCAAATACAAATTACTTGAAATAACATAATATGCTGTTATACACGAATATTTTTGTATAGAATAAAAACAAATAATTTATACTAGCGGATGAGTTACGGTACATAAATCCATAGAATTTGTTTCTATAATAAGCGAAATCATTTAAATTATTTGTTTTCATAAAAGGAGTTTTATAGAGAAATAAATTCACCTTAATCAGATATTACAATTTACAGCATCTATGACCAGATTATAAAAGAGTGAGGTGGTTTAATACATCTCACAACAATTATATTAGTCTAATAGTCAATTTTTGTCCTAGTTGCTAAATTCACTAATTCATAGACCTATTTTCGCTTATAAATAATTATATGAATGTAATATTTATGAAATAAATAGCTATATATTGATAATCAAAATTGTTCTTCAAATGAACAATATAGTAGGATACTTGAAATAATCTAACTGTATTAAACCTGCATGATTATGTTAGTAGAAACATGTCACAACTTTGAAAATTTAGTCTGCAGACCTGCAATAAAAATGTTTTTATCACAAACCAAATAGTGTTGCTTTTAAACTCTCATTGGCAATAAGTATTTTTTTATTTAATTTTTTAAAAAANAAAATAATTAATATTTTTAATAAAATGTAAAAAAATTAATTATTGAGATATAGCTATAGACCTAACGTATAACCATTATTTAAAAAAAAAATCAACTAAAAATATTAACTGGATCAAAAGTTATTTAAGTTGTCAGTGAGTGGTGGGCCACTCTGTATATATATATTTTAAATTAAATATAATGTAATATACTTTAATATAAAAAATATGGCATGTACCCAGTGTGACGCGACTCCATTGTGTTGGGTTTTTTTTTTAATTATAATTTATAATAAGTTATAACGTTTATATAGCGTACGAATATGTAGTGTATACTGTAGGTATACATTTCACAAAAATTAATTATGGTGCTACGTTGTTACATATGTCATAAGAGTGCCAATATTAATCTCCATCTATCATTTCATAAGTAAGTTATTGAGAGATTGATATCACAATGTTTAATAAAATGTAGTCTTATTAATTTTATAATGTATTTATAATTATAGATTTCCCAAAGATTTAACCAAATTATTGAAATGGAAAGAATTTGTTAAAATTGATCGCATAACTGAGTGGCAAAGAGTTTGTTCTGACCATTTTGATCCTAGTAGCTTTAACTGAGGAATATAAAATTCTTAAAAAAAGATGCTGTTCCAACAATTTTAAAAAAGTATCTAAACTTGTATTAATATAAATATTTAAATATACATACAAACATACATATGTATTTTGAATTTAAAAAAAATTGTCTCCAGAATTCTTTCTCAGATATGGCTTTATATATTTATGTTAAAACTATTATTATTATTTAAACCTAAATTTTGAAATAGGTCATTGAATATTACTAAAAAAACAAGTGCATCAATTCATATTTCTATTAATGAAAATTTTAATGACTTATCAGTTTCTCCGATCAAAACCCACAAGGTAAGTTTATATCGTACATAATATTTATTTATATACAATGTATTTTGTTATACAATTTTATATTTTCAGTCCTTTAAATAATACTGTGGTGAGTATACTTAAACAAATGAATATTTCAAATAATTGTATTACATTTGGTGATTCAAGTACAGTAAATTCACCATCAAATGAGAGTTGCTTCAATACATACATATAATGTGATGAATGTAAACTAAGCTTAATTTCATCTACTCACAAGAATAGTTTGACAGAAATTAAGAATCGCGGTAATTTCACAAAACCAAGTCCTAATGTTGAGATAATCTGTAATATAACTGAAAAAATATTTAAACAGTACACTAATTTTTTTTTAATAAAAGTTATAACTGAACTATATAGAAGTTATAACATATTTTCTAAAGTAACTTGTGGAGATGATGCTTGGTTTGAAAATGACCACAAAAACAATATGATAAATTTAATAGTGTTGAAGTATTTAGATGTTAGAATGTATCACGAAGTTAGAATAAGAAATGAAGAACGCATTAAAACAAGAGCAAAACTAACAAAAACTATTCATTTTAATTACGATTAATGTTCGTTACTGTTTTACTATATATTTTATAAGTTTTGGAAAGAATAATTGTTTTAAGTTTTACATTATTATACTATTAAATAACTTATACTAATTAATAATTACTGAACATTAAAAAATAAAAAGTAAATGTTATCATGTAATAATGTAAACAAATAGCCTCAATTTACTATCACCACAGTTTTCATTGATAAAGCATCCATGTTTATAAGATCTATGGTTATAAATGGAATTTATTTAAATTATCATTTCAATAATAATATAAGGAAATCTCAATTATTTAAGCAAATAAAATTTTTTTTTAGTGTTTCTTTGATACTGTATGTTTTTTCCTTCAAATTTGTCTTTGGGTATGCACAATTTTATAATTTAATGATATTTTAAGTATTAGTATTAATATACTATGTTAACTCGAATGTGTTAACTCATTTTATAATTATGATCCTCCTCTATAATAAATATAAATCACTGTATGAATTATTCAGTGTTCAAAAGTAATTCCTTCCAAAAAAAGTAGATTCTTTGTACTATCTCATTTTGTAAGAACAAAGCTAGGAACTGCTTATTTTAATAATTAAGGAACGCGAACAAATTAATTTTAATGAGAAACATTTACAATTCTTTAAATTTTAATGTATTTAGGTGTTATAATTAAAAATGTATTTTTATTTCTACTATTAATAATGGTTTTTGCATTAAATACTGACTGCCATAATTATATACCTGTATTATATCTCCATTATGTTATGGCTATTTTGTAATTAATTTTAGAAAAAATCAACTTGTTTTTACAAACAGAATTACAAACATTTAGTTAAAAAAAGTATTTTCTTAATATTTAAATTATGAAACCTCTTTAATTATGTTTATTTTATATTTAATTGAATTAATAATAACAAAACTTAATATTCATGAGTATTTAGTTATATAATAGTATAATATATTATATCGTTTATAATTACTTATTAATTTGTGTTTAATAATTATTTTTCTGTTGAGTATTGTTATATTTAATGAATTAATAAGAACCTAAATTACTCATATAATTTCAGAATAAAGTATTTAAAGTATGAATAACATAAATATACAAATTGAAGCTGAGAAACTACACTTTGCTGATGAATGTATTGAAAATGTTCCTGAAGCAGATGAAGTAGATTTATTGAGAGGACAACCTTGTCATGAATCACCTGAACATGTAATTGAATTTAATATTATTTACTAACTTTTACTTTAAGACAAAACCCAATTTAAACAAAATTTTAATTTAAGAGTTATTATTATTAAAGAGTAGACTTTAAGGTTTTTAAAAACTTTAAAGATCATTTAAAGTAGAATTTTTTTACTAAAATTTGGAGATGTATATAAATTATTTTAAAAATTCATCTAATATTAAAATATATATATAAATACCATTACAATAAATAAAAGCACTATAATGCATATAAATATCAAAAAAATAAACCATAATGATTAATAGATTAATAAAAATATAAAAAAAGGGCATTTATAAAATAATTTAAAAATTATATTTATACTCTAATATTATAATAATTGGATTTTTATTTTTAATTTAAGTGAACCGGTGAAATAATATTTAGTTTCGATGAGAAGTTGACCTGTTTATTATTTTTTGTCTGTACTATTTATTCTTAACTCTCACTTGACTGATTTCAATGATCAATACGTCAAAATAACCCTATTTTATCTAGTTAGTTAAACTTATAGCACCAATTAATGGAAAAAATTCGATGATTTTAGAAATTTCAAATATATATTTTACTGAATAAAATTTTTGCGCTGGTTTCATATTTATAGTTAGATATTTTCCATCATCTCAAATTGATGAGACAATTGATAATTAGTAAAAAAATTATTTACTTATAATATTATTATATAATAATAAAAAAAAATTATTTTTATACATTATTGATTTTAGATTTAATATGATAACAGATATCTATGCAAAATTTTGAACAAATTGTCATGTTTAACCTATTTTAACTTTAAGCTCTTTGATTTTAATATAAGTTTTTCATGCGTGTAACAAAATATACACTACTTTAATATTTTTATAATTTCTCTGCAAAAATTATTAAATATCAGTTTTATACTAAATTTGATTACTATAATAAGTATTTATTCATGTATATTACTCATAATTCTAAAAACTAGTATTCGGTATATAATTTGGGACATAGTAGTTGAAGTTGATTTTGGATCCACCAATTTCTTAAAATTAAACACTATTACAAGTTTGCATCAAAGCATTTTTTTTATAGTGATTTTTATTGCTATCAGATATCGTATATATTTGTCCAAACTATGCTGCCTCTCTACTATATTGTGATTCCACTATGCTGTCGTTTTCTCAAAATATTTCACATAACTAAAAAAATCTTAAATACATAATAAAAAAACCCAGCACAGTGAGTCGCAGAACAGTGGGGACGTGGCATAGTTGGGCCCAGTATAGATTTAATCTGACAGTGATTAAAATCACTATCATTAGAAATACTTCGATACAAATCTGTAGATAGTGTTTAATTCTATGAAATTGGTGGATAATTACAAAAGCAAAATGAACTCCTATTTTCTTATTTATAACATGATTAGTAATTATTAGATTCATAAATATAATATATAATTATATAATGACCAATTTTTTTATTATATATTATATGACTTATAATAAATTGTTTTCAAATTATTATTGATTTTTAATATGTTAAAAGTAATTACTTTTAATCTATTTTTTTTTACCAATAAAGACATAAACATAACTAAGGGGTATTGATTTTTTTAAATTCGCTTTTAGGGTTCATTAAGGGCCACTACAGTCTTCTTATATTAAGGAAAGTTTCTTGACGTTTATATTCCAGAATGGTTGGTTTATCCATCACCGGATAGAGAGAAAATAAAATTTTATTATTATTTTTAAGATACATTTTGTGTTGAAAATAGTATTTACAAATACTCAAATTATAGCTGATATATTGATAATGTAGTAAAAATTTAGAAATATTCTAAATTTGACATTTAGAATCAGAAACAAAAAAAAGTGGCAATAATAATAAAAAAATTAGCATAATCAATTCACTGCCTAATTTTTGTCAAACTTTTTATCTAATTGTATTATTTCTATACTGTTTAAATAAAATAAATTTGAATTTTTTATGTATCAAGAAAAATTGGTCTTCATGGATACTAAATCAGTCTACAGTATTTGCAACTAATACATTAAATACAGTTGACTATTTAGGTGAATCCTTAGCGAATTTTTTCGGCATCACTACTCCTAAATATCAGTATGAAATAAATTATCATAATAATATTTTACATCAGGTAAGTTATATTTATTTTACAGTCCTATAAATTAATACAATGTTTAGTATCATGTAGTATTAGGTAAAAAAAAAATAGACAAAGGGGTAATTTGTAGATTTTTTTTATTATATTCTATTTATATTTAACATCTCTCTGAAAAGCAATGCTAGAGTGGGCTAAAACCTACATATCCCAGCTAAACAGTATCAAACACTTGTAATTATGCTCCGAGATACATTTAAATTTAAAATTTAAAATTTTAATACAATATAATACTTATAGTTATTAGAAATTTTTTTTTTTTTAATATTTAAGTAAACAAGAATAAAAATACATATCACATTCAAAAATATCCCCCATATATTTTTGATAATTGTTCTTACACCTTCCGATTCCTCTCTCATCACAACATGACCAAACCATATTTTAGTTTTTTTCATCTTATTGACGATTGACGTTACACCTATACTCCCTCTTATATGTTTATTCCTTATCTTATCTTTTCTAGTTACTCTACTCATCCATCTAAGCATTCTCATCTCTGCTACATTCATTCTCTGTTCTACTTTCTTGTCAACCACCCAACACTGAACCATATATCATAACTGGTCTCACTACAGTCTTATAGAACTTACCTTTTAGCAGCATTAGAATATTTTTATCACATAACACACCAGACACTTATCTACACTTTAACCACATGCACTTAATCATGTGTTTTACTTCCTCGTCAATACCACTGTTCTTTTGCAAGACTTATCCTAAATTTTCTACCTTTCCAATCACGCACTCACCTATTGCCACTGATCTCATTTGACCTACCTCGTGTTCTTCTTTGTCAAACTCGTACTCTACATACTCTGTCTTACTCCTACTTATTCTTAAACCCTTTTCTTCAAGAGCTGATCTCTACACTTATAGTCTTCAATTAATTTCCTCCTATTAACACTATATTGTCAGCAAAAAACATGCTCCACATCACCTGTCCTTGTATTTCTCTAGTAATTTCATCTATTACTATGGAGAATAAATAAGGGCTTAAAGCAGAACCATGGTGCACTCCTACTCTTATCCGAAAACCTTTTGTTACTTCTCTTACACTTTTTACCCCAGTACAAGTGCCATCATACACATTATCTATTACATTAATGTACCTTTTTGGGATACCTTTTCTCATTAATGTCCACTTTAAAACTTTACATAGCTTTTTCTTCTTTTCCCTATAATTTTCTATTAGTTGTCTTATACAAAATATTATAAAACACTACATTAGGCTTTTTTTCATTAAACTCTTGAATTACTTTGTTTTATTACTATTTGTTTTAAAGTTTAATAGTATAAAAATAAATGAATGAAGTGTTTTTTTTAGATCAATACCAATCATATAAGTATATTAAGTAAAAAGTTTGCTGGACATAAAAAAATCTACCAAAACTTTTTTTTATTTATCTACCCCTATGGTCTATAAAATTTTAATAATACAAAAAATAATTATAAATATTTATGAATGTGAAAAACTTTCTTAGAATAACTTTCTTTGAACAAAATAATATTTGAGTGTTTTATAATTGATTTCAACCATTGTCATATTTACTACTCTGGATCTAATAATGCATGTCCATCACCGAGTCGAGTATCAACTACACTGTTTTTTTTATTTTAGATATTACTATCATAACTCTCGTAAACTATTTTTAAATGTTCTTTTATATTAAATTAATTTTGAATGAAAAATATTTATTTTGAACTATCTTAATTCATATTTTATACAGATAAATAACGAAAAAATTGCTGATGAAGAAAGTATGAAAGGATGGAATACTCAAAATCAAGAATGTGTTACTGTTACAGAACCTCACTAAATCTGTAGATTGAATCAATCATCTTAGTGATATAGATATCAATTACAATTGTTAAAATCTTTTTATCATATAATTTTACATTTATTTGGAGTTTAAATACTAAATGACTACTATTATTATTCTTAATTTACATTTATATTAAATATTGTATACATTGTAGTATAATTTGCATATTAATAAAACTAAAACTAAAATATAATAAACTCAACATACCTAATTAATTAATTTATAATCATTTATAGCTAGTACAATATTTTATAGTCAACATGGTCTTGTTTTTAGCTTTAATTTAGATGATATGATATATTTAAAAAACAACTTAAATCACGAAATTGAAAATAATAAGTTCAATATATTTCTTATGAATAGATGCATCATTTTAAAAAAATGTTTAAAAGCTCAATAAATTAAAAAAATTTTGAAAAGTTTTACAAGAATATATTTATATAAGAAAAACATGTATCCTATGTCTCACAAAGTGTTATTTTACAATAATTACTCTAAGTATTTAATTGGTTATATGTTATAGTTTTGCAGGTTAAATTTATCAACCAGTTGAATCTTGGTTGATAAAATTGATAAAAAAGTATTGCATCATCACAGTTAATGCCAATAAAAAAAAATTATAAATGAAATTTAAAACCGAATTCATTTAAAAATGTTAATTAAGAATACTTGGCTAAATTTGGACGGAACCACTTAATATACAATATAATAAATTATTTATTTTATACAACACAACTTATATATGTGACATTACGTTGAGTTTATTGTTGGTTGCATATTTTGTTGGTTATGAGAACTAATATGATTGAGCACATTTTTTGGTTTCGATGCGAGTGTGAGAAGGTATTAATTTTACTATGATGCGTTTTATTTTTTGTGCCTGTTACCCACTTTTTCTCAGCTCTCAACGCACTCATTTCTTTCAACGATACATCAAAAGATCACAAATCGAATTACTCTCAAAAATTGAAAAAATTTCTCTCGTTCCCCGTAAATGGGGGAAACCTCCAAAAAAATTACATATCAGTAATTTTCGACATTTTAAAATTTTTTTTACTTAAAAATGCCATAACTTATTGAAAAATGTATGGATCATACATTTTTATAATACAATAATTGGATAATACAATTTTTTTTTAATAGATATATTAAGTCCTATAATTTGTTAATTTTTTTTTTAAATCTGACCGTTTCTCTTTACAAAGGGAGTTCAAAACTTAAAAATGCGTATAGAAAATAAAACTTTTTAACTTATTTTTAATTAAAATATATTTATTGATTATTCATACATAACCTAATAATCAAACACAAATATTTTTTATAGTAATTAGAAGGATGTTGTTATTATTATTTAGGCTATATGCGAAATTCTAATTACATATTTGAAATAGGCGCGAAAACGGGTTTAAGAAGAAGTGTTTCTTATGATACAGTAGAAGTCCGATAATCCGGCATCCAACAGTAGAACAAACTTTTTTGTATTTGCATACTGTATTTTTAGTTTAATTATTAACGTAATTGTTCTTATAGCAAAGCCTACACGAAAAGGAAAGGGCACCGCCCGATAGACCGGCACAGAGCCGTTCCCGAACGTGCCGGATTATCGGACTTCTACTGTAGTGATTTTAATGAGTTGTCAGATATCATCTATACTGGACTCAACTATGCCACGTTCCTACTGTGTTGGGTTTTTATTTTTCCATCTTATTATTGAATCGCTAAAATAACTTTGTTTAAACCCTAAAAAATTCATAAATATAAAATGTAACTACAAATTTTTTTTTTTGTTCATTTACTGTGGGCAGAATGATATTTTTTGAATGATTATATTTTCATTGTACTAAAAAAAATAGTAGGAAGAATGCCTTTTTATGTTAAGATATTATTTAAAAAAATTAATCAATTTTAAAAAGTATTGTATTACTCTTTTAAATTTATCAATATCAAACTCTGGCAAAGAGAGTTCCTTAATGAGACTTCTTTTAGAATACTAATTAATTTTTGTCTAGCCATATGGTGGTACAATCAGCATAGACAAAGTTACAAATATGTGATTTTAAAATAAATAATGTTCTTTAGAAATTGTTAAGAGCATTACACTAAATTTATTATATAAAAAAAAAATTGTTTTCATTTTGAATATAATAAGAATGAAAAATTCATTTTTAACAAAATTTTGGTCTAAAATTTTATTTTTTACTTCAATTAATTTTAAATACATTTATAAATATTATCTTAGTTTTATCATAATAAATTAACAAGAATTTATAAATATATTTTCATTTTAATTCGTATTACATACATTTATAAATAACTAACAAAATAATTAGGTGATAAAAAACATAATTTAAAAAATAATATAGATTTTTGGAATATTTTATTTAAATTTTTTACATTACTTAATTATCATTCCGTTCAAGGAAATCTAATATTTGCTTTGTAATGAAATTGGTAGCTTTTTGTGAATGTGGAATGAGAAATCTAAAAAAAATATAAATATTCGAGTAATTAATTTAATGCAGTCTTGTAGATTTTGCTTTAAGTATTGGCAACCTTGAAATATTTAAATGTAGAAATATATTTAACAAAAAAAAAAAACAAAATTTATTGTTTTATCTGTACATTTGTACCACTTTTTCTCAGCTCTTACAACATTACCCTAAAAAATTGAAAAAATTTCCCTCGTTCCCCTTAAATGGGGAAATCTATAAAAAAATTACAATTCAATTGTTTTAATTAAAACTGCCATAATTTTTTGAAAAATGTATGAATCAATACAATTTTTTTTAAATGATACATGAGATAATTTCCTATCATTTTGTATATTTTTTTTGATAAATCTGACCCTTTATCTGCCCACAGGGGGTTTCAAAATGACAACTTTTCACAAAAAATTAACTTTTGAATGTGTACCGGAAATACTGACACTTTTATATGTATCTTAAATTAAAGCTTATATAATATACTTTATTATGGAAAAAAAAATTTTGTCTTCATGGTGAAAGTGGTTACTATATGCTATATTTGTGTTAAAATTTTCGATTTTGTATTTTATATTATTTTAAAATACCTTACTATTTTGTAATTAAAGATATTACTCTCAAAAATTGAAAATATTACTACTTGATCAATTAAAAAGTTACTTAGCCCACATTTTCTATATAGACAATTAAAATTATACATTTTTAATGTTTTTAAAGTATTTATTAAGTTTGATATGATTATAGATTTCAACTACAAAATTAAATAATTTTTCTTTGTAATATATTAATTTTTTTAATTTATTTGTTTGTTACTAACAGTATAATATTCCAATTTTTTTGGTAACATGTTGTTACATAAATTATAAATCTAAAAAAAAATTATTTTTATTTTCACCTGAATTTAACAAAAATTTTTTATAATTATAATCAAATTTTATAATACACTTTCTGAGTAGATTTGTTTAACAACATTTTGATTGGTTTTTTTAATTAAAGTAAATCATTAAAATTAATTATGTTCTGAAGATTTCAATTCTAGAATATTTTTAAACATCAAAAATTACATAGAAATGAATACTATGATTTCTATTTAAGTGATCTATTACAATAAAAATGCAAAACAAATCGAACTTTCTAATCTTTTCTGATAAATTTACAGTATAGAATAATTATACAATTTTCTGACTTCATATTAATCTTAACAATACTATTTTTTACTATTAATGTAAATTTCAAACGTAAGTTATGGTAACAAATTTAACTTTTTTTTATTATAAATTTTCAAAAACTAAATTTAAAATACTAAAAAAATAAGTTAAAAATGATTGTAATAATGATTATTTTTAAAATATTAAAAATCAAAATGTGTTATGATTTAAAAACAATTTTTTTGTGTTTTTAATTATTTTATTATCGTAATAAACAATTTCAAAAAAAATATTAATAATTTCTCTGTAACTCTTGATGGTTAAATAGATGATACAATTGAAATATTCAGAACTATAATGAATATAGTCTTTATAGTTATATTCAATAGTTTTTAACTAATTAGTAATAATATCAAAAATTATTGGTGATGGAAAACATATAATTACTGATTTTAAATTATTAATTATTAATTGAATAATAAAAGTATATTTTTGACTCTGATGAAAATTGTTTGCAGACCATTTATTCATAATTAACAACAAATTATTATCTAAAAAGTTCTGTGTCAAGCCTTTCAATTTTAATACACGTTTAGCATAAAAATAATAACTACTTTATAATTTTTTATAAATTCTCCAAAAAATGACAATACTTAATTATTATATGTCAATTTCATACTACGTTGAATTGCTTTAATAGATATTTATTCATAAATTATACTTATAAATCAACTACTAATTAGAAATAATGATAGAAATAAGAGTTAATTATGCTTTTAGAATAATCAACCAATTTCTTAAAATTAAAGACTATCTACAGATTTGTATCAAAGCGTTTTATTATGATAGTGATTTTAATCACTGTCAAATATCATTTATACTGGACCCAACTATATCATGTCACCACTGTGCCACGACCCCATTGTGCTACCATTTTTTTTCTTCTTAAAACTACCATCATTTTTTCAAGAATTAAGTATTTCAAATAAAAACAAAAATTGTTTTTACGCTTTCATGGCTTATTTGGGATGAAAGGAAATTCCTGAAGAAGAGGTGTCTTAACCATACATTAATAAGACAGGTGGATAGTCTATTGCTAGAGAAATAGAGAATCTTGAACTTGAAACAATATATATCAGATACTGCTGCTTTACATAATCAATCAGTTCTTCAAAAAATCAATTCTATTGGATATTATTATAAAATATTTAAAAATACCTGTCAGAATCTTGATTTGGATCTCCATACTCAAAAATAATTAAATCAGGTCTTTTTTTTCGACATTTTATATTCATGATTGTTCCTAAAGATCGATTTACCACAGATTTTATTTTATTTGAATCTTTTTCATCTACTTCTACTATTATCATATGATTGTCAGTCAAAAGTAATTTTCTGAAAAGCCATATATATACATTAATATATGTAAATTTAATAACTAAGAATCAAACCATTTGTTTGTTACTAAGCTCCGTAGGTAAAGCTATTTTTAATGATTATATAATAAAAATTAGAGTAGTTTACAAACTTTACCTTTGATAATGCATGTATAATATTAATTATTTAATTATTTATGTTATAATTATTGATCATCAAATAAAATATAGTTTATAATATTAACTATAATTATTTTATTACAATAAATAAAAAAAATTACTCTATTATCAATTTTGAAAACTATCTAATTCAATTTATAAGACATTCAAAATCAAACTTTCTTAAGCAGAATCACTATTACTGAGTTTAAAAAATTAAAATTTAGATGTATACTACCACCCATTTTTTTGTTATATAATAATTTTTTCATAAAAAATGTATAGATAAAAATTTAATCTATTTTTATAATTCATATATAGTATCAAGTTTATTGTAGCAAAATATTACTATTTTAGGAATAATTTTTTTAGAAATTGCAAAAAAAAAAATTTTTATATAATTTTTAATATAATAAATTAGTTAATGACTGAATTTTCAAAAAAAAAGAATGTGTTGCTAGCAAAACAAATGTTTGTAGTATTAATCCTAAAAATTTCATTTAATAATCCATTAAAAAAAATAGCAGTGTTAAAAATACAACTAATAAGTAATACCAAAAGATTCATAGTTACACATCAAAACTATAATTAAAAAACTGTATTTTTCTAGTTAGAAAAATTTTCAATAATTTTTTTTCTTTTTGAGCATTGTAATAAATTAAATTATACCTTATATAAAACTATGATATAATTAATATTTAAAGAAAAATTGTATAGAAATACCCTGGAACTAATTTTCCTTCATTTTTAATATTGTGACAGTCAAATGATGCCATAATATTGGATTTGTTCAGTAACAATGACAAATTGTTGCTACTATTTATGTCATCCAAATCATCTGAAATAAAAAATAAGGTTTCATAAATAATAGTTTGCATTTTAAGTGCTAAGTCTTGAATATTTTGAAATCTAAATTAAGTTTACTAATATATGTAGTTTTCAATATAACTGTAAGTGCAAATGTTTGGTATTTACACTTTAACTTTATTTTTTTTTTTCTAGAGGAATTAGCCTTTCATTAGTCGAAGCCGATCTGAGAGATCGTGAAAGCTTAGTTTGCTTTTACACATGGAAACGGCTAAAGCCATGAGTCTCCCTTCCACGTTACCTTCTTCAATCTTCAGGAGAAGGGATTTAATGCGCTTTAGTCAACATTAAAAATAATTGTTTTAATTACATAACTTTTAAAAATAATTGTTGGAAATAATTTTTTGATAACTATCTTGAATTTTATTGATATTTTTAAATAATATAATTTGTAAAAACAGGCCTGTGTTAACAAATTATTGTATGTCAATGCTAATAAGACTAATTTAATTAAAATATCAAGTGCATCTTTGTATTTTTTTAAGAAAGCAATAATTTTTTTTAATATTAACTATCACTTTTATTATATCCTAGTAACTTAGTTAAGTTTTCACTATCAGAATTTGTATACAATAAATTGTGTATGAATGTTGATAAAATAATTCAACATAGTCATTTTTGTTAAAAATCAACCTAATACAATTTTTGCACAAGGCCATCAATATTATTTTGGTATCTTATAATTCATTTTATTTATTTTTTTTGTCATAATAAGTTATTACAGATTTTCTGGTCGAACATTATTACTTGTATAGCACAAACTAATTATTTATACCATCAGAATCTTGATGATTATCTTCCTCGTCAATAGAAAATACTGGAGCCATATTTCTATACATTTTGCTCTTTTCATTAGTTGATTTTTCATTTTTAACGCTTGCACTATTACTTGACAAAAAATCCAAAAACTTTCCTTTAACTTCAACTGATTTTGATTTCATGACCACACTAAAAAATATTAACATTAATATACCTAATTCTTAGTTTTCTATCAGAGTTAACAAATTTTTTATAGATAAAAAATGTTTTATCAATATGTAATGTTACTATATACATTTAGTATATAGCACACACTTCAAACTTGTTTTGGAATATGCAGATATGCATATCATTTTGAACACAATAACTTTAAAAATCTCAAAAATTATATATTAGCTAATATCTTAATTTATTTTACACAACATTTTTATTTAAAATCAAATATAAGTAACAAGTTAACAATGTTGATATAGTGTCAGTCTTTGCTATAACAATTTTGAGTTGGACCCATAGATATCATAGCAATGTGTTGTCATAAATAATTTAGTAAGATAATATGTAGAGCTATGATGTTTAATTGAAATATAAATACAATATTTTTATATTGTTATTTGAAAATGCTAGCTAGACTCAGGAATTTTAAAATGTTAATAGATTGGGTCAGTTTAAGATAAAATGAACATTAACCGTCATGTTTTTTTTATTTACCTGAGTTTAGAAAATAATTCATTTGTAACGTTAGTCTGGGATGTTCGTTCTTTAGCTAAATTTGAGAAAGCTAAGCACTGTTCACACCTTTTACGATCATGGTCGCTTAATCCATCAATATTATTTTGTTCAAAATAATCATGGAGAGCTTAAAATAAGATAATTTTCAGATTTTATTTCAGTAACCAAATTTTTAATTTAAAAATAATAATACCTTGATAGCCACCAATTAACATAGAAACATACAAAGAATGTTTTTGTAAAAATGCTGAAACAACCATATGAGTATTCTGATTTCCATCTAAACTACTTCCACCGCCTGCAAAACACCAATGTTCACTTCCACTAGAACATCCTTCCACAAAACTTTGCTTTTGACAAGATAATAATCCTTCAACGGCAGTCCAAAAAGATGTAGGGTTTTCTAAAAGCTATAAAGATAACAAATTCAGTATTTCTCATAATAAATCACATATCCTTATTAACATAAAAGACTCTTACAGCACTTTTTGTTACTCACTAATACTAACACACGTGCACGCGTTAATTTTAGTTGTGGTTGAATAATTCAAAATTTTACTTTTAAACAAATATTTTGTAAGGAAAATATGCAAATATAATGAATGAATTGAGTAACAATATATATGCATAATTATTTTTATTAATTATTATGTCCACAGCAATAGCATAGTCAAGAGTAGTCTAAAGACTCATTAAGGGGCTATAACCCCTTATTGACCTTTGACGGTAGTAAGTGTAAGTAATGAGGAAAAAAATTGTCCTTTTCTAGCAATTTAACTTTGCTACAGGCTCATAGTTATAAAATTAAACAAGAATGAATAGTTTATGATTATCCCAACTTTAATTGTAAAGGTGCAAGCATTGGCATAAATTAAGGGGTCTTAGTTTCTTAAACCCCTAAAACTTAAAAACAGGGAAATTATCTCCTTCAATACCAAATTTAAGAAGTATTAATTTTACCATTTTTATGTCTGTGATTATTGTATTTCATATAGTTATATGAATATATATAGATGTATGTCACAAAGATATTTTTACTTGAAAACTATACAAATAACATAAAATACCATATTTTTTTTTATTAAAAAGAAATTATAAGATAGCCATTTTGTAGAGTAGATTTTAACAAAACATATCTTATTAACTGGCCTAGCTGTGCCACAAATCTCATGTGCCTTTGGAGCATGAGCCTCTTTGGGCCATCCTCGTAAGTAGGTCACTGATTCCGATTGGAGTACACAGCNGGCCTAGTTTACAAATCTCATGTGCCTTTGGAGCATGAGCCTCTTTGGGCCATCCTCGTAAGTAGGTCACTGATTCCGATTGGAGTACACAGCTACACTGTAACACGATAAGTATTTTGCAGGAAAACTATTACATCAGAATCAGTACAACAAAAATAAATTAAAAGTTTAATTATTAAAATCAAGAAAATTCAAAATGAGAAAATAGTAAAATATATAGGATATAAGGTTGACATTTTTTACTGAGATATTCCCCTTGGATGTATTCAGAAATTATTTTAGGAAGGTATTAATTTTTTTTGCACAATGAAAAACATGCTATAAATTTTTTTTACTAAAAATCAAAGTAATGATAAAAAAAAAGGTTATTAGAGCCATATTTCTTAAAAGTCACCTAAAAAAAAAATGGATTATTTTAATATCCCATATATAAAAATTTATTGGATATTAAAACTATGTGGGTGGTTTTAAAAAAAAAGACTCGAACACGAGCTTTTTTTTCTCAGATAAAAGGAAAATACCTTAGGTAATTTAAAAAAAAAGTTATTTTGTTTTGTTAATTTTTAAAAAGTTATAGTAGTTTTAAGAAAAAAAGTTCAAAACTACTTAAATACTAATTAAAATAAAACAATTTTTTTTCAAAATTATTTTTTTTGAAGAAGTATAGTGTTCAATGAAAAATCAATAATTCTATATATTCTAATTGAAAATTATTAAAAAGTAGAAAAAACTATTACTATTTATAGTGAAAAATGTTTGAATATTAGTTATTTTACTTTACTCAAAACAAAATATCTTTTGCATTCTTTATATTTTTAATTAAAAAAAATCTATATATCTGGTCATTTTTTAGTAAATTAGGAAATAATAAGAAAATATGTTGATATTGATCTAAAGCAAAATTAAATTAAAAATTAACTCTAAAAATAAATGCCAATTTTGTTTTTTTGTTTTTCCTTAAATGATGGTTATAATTGTGCATTTGAGCTCAAAATTTTGAGTTACTATAAGAAACAATATACCTTTTACTAGTAATCTTATCTATTCTGTGATTATATCATAGACACAAATACAATTTTACCCAGTTGATACTAATAGTAAAAACATAAATATTGCACAACAATTTATTGATAAGTACAAATCAAAAGCTGCGAATAGTTGTTTAGAATACCTATTTTTACAATTCTGCGTCATTATGATTCCAAATTAGATCAATATAATTTTATATAGTTACAAAAAAATATATACAAATCATGTAAGAGATATTTTGGTTTGTGCAAAATAAAATAAATTGTATTAAAAAAACGGTTTAGCATAAATAATATCAATAGATATACATAGTAAACAATGTTTCTACCCTTTTTAGTAAATTTTCAAGCCCTCTGAGGTATATGAAGAGGTTAAAGTAAAATGCTAAAAATTGACTAAAATTCCAAGTACCCAACATCAAATTTCTTAAGTTCGTCATATAAAGATCACTCTAATCTTTGTTAACTTGTACTTTTAAAATATTTATTGTATAATCCTTATAAAAAAAGCATCACTTATTCACATAAAAATAATTTTCACTGATTTCACTCAAGAATGTATTTTAGGGAAAATACATCAATTTGTTTTTGGCATAAAAATCATCAAAAGCATATTTATTAAACATATATTATTTAAAAATCAATTACATTATTATACTAGCTAACACTGACTTTGATATTATATCTGATTTTCAATGAAATTTTGTTACTAATTCTTAATCTGTCTTCAGATTTAGTTTTTGAAATAATTGCTTATTTCGAAATCGACGACAAAATTTCATTAAGAAACAGCTTTAATATACAGGCACCAAAAATTTTTTCGATTTTTGCTCAATATAAATGTAAAGTGTCAATGTAAATGTTAATTCTAATTTTCATAATCAATATACAGATCAGATATGTGTATAGATACACATCATTAGGTGCAATTTATAGTTATTAAAAAAAAACTTACCAAAGTACTATCAAGTGGAAATGCTATAGGTAAATGACCAGCATTATACTGCTCAGCTGGTCGACAATCCATGACAAAAAATTTAAGACTATTTGATTCTGATTTATTAATATGAGATAATAAATCTGTTACACTAATAGGAAGGCATAACATTTGCGAAATATCATTACTTAATTGATTGGAATCAAATATATAACCAGCTACATCCTAAAAAGAATTGTTCAACAATTTTAAATAATTTTTTTATTGTTTTAAACAATTTTTTTTCTCATAAAAACATTTTTTGTATATTTTCGTTTTGGAAATACATAAAAATTCAATGTTTTCCATCTAAAATAACTCTATCTTCCTCATTTAAATTGCACAAATAAAAATAATAATAATAAAAGAAAGATTTTAAAGCTTTAACAAATATTCCTCTTGTAATGTTGAAAAATCAAACAAATTCTTTTTTTAATATTTTCTAAACATTTAAGAATAAAATTAAATATATTCTTAATATATTTATATACAAAAATAAAATATATAATAATGCATACCCATATATATACTGTTGCTCACAAAGATTTCACAACCTTACCTCAATTATACTCAAATTTCAAAATATTCTAAAGACAAAAATGAAATCGATCAATTCTAACTTCAAGTTCGACTTGTATAAAAAATCTTTAAGTCTTCTATAGAATAATACAACCCGCAGGAGAATTCATAAGGATCACTAGCTTAACAATTCCAATTAACTCAGTGGGGGTGGCGACACATACCACTGTTCTTAGTCAGTTATGACTTTGGTTAGTTGGAATCAGTTGATCTGGACAGGCATACCTGTTTACTCACAGAAAATAGGCCCCATACCCAGTCATGCCAAGTGAAAAGGTTGCTAACTAGTCATAAGGTAGTTAGCTGTAAGGTAAAGTGACAAATGGGATCCTCTATACCACCTGGCACACAACAGAGAATAAGCTTTATAAAAGTATCCAGCTCTGCTGTGATAGACCTTTATTTATCAACTACTCGTGGGAACTATATGTATAATAATATAAAATAACAAATTTAGGACGAGCAAGGATTTTATGGATAACCTGTTGAAAAAAGAGCGTTAATTAATGGCTCTTCGTAGAAAAAATCACTGAAATTGAAAATCTCAATGTGAACAATGAAACATTCAGTGAATCATCTACTAACATAGAAATTATGTCAACAGATGAAAACCAGAAATCACAAGACCAACTGGGAACAGTTGCTGGAATGATCGAAGATTTTAAACTTAAGCCTAAGAAACTTTGTGTCAGTCAGAGATGCAAGTTGAAGAGGAACCACAAAAACAGAGGCAAAGAAGGACCAATTGAAAAGATAAGATAGGGGAACCAATGATTTGGAAAAGTGGCACTTGTCCTTGTGGGCTATCTTACTAATAAATTTATTACTAAACAAGGAAAACTCATAGAGTATTGTGTTCGAGACTTAATACTATCAGGCACTAATGAAACCGATGTACCAAAGTTTGAAAACACTAGGCTCCTTCATAGAGCACTTGTGATTAGTGCAGTTTAAGAGATGTCTCTTAAGTGCCTAACTGAAAATGTCAACAAAATAAACCCTTGTGATGGTGCTGAGATCCAAATGGAGATTTATAATTTAATCAGGTATAAATGGATAGTCACTCACATACCAGGACTACCCAGAAATTCTAAGAAAATCTTGGAAAACTTGAGAAAACAGAAGCTAGGACTGAGCAAAGTCTATTCCTAAGAGTGGATGAGAAAAGTATGATCATGATGGAGGAACTCAAACACAGTCTATATTTTAGAATGAGGAGAGTTTGTTTCACTGACTATGTTACCAAGCTAATGACACCTCAGAATGGAAGAAATCAATTTTTCAAAAATCTGGGAAGACAAAGGCTGAAAAATTCCCCTAGAAAAAGAAGGCAAGAAACAGGTGAAAAATAAACTGACTCATTATACTCCCTACTCGAAAGCAAAAGGAGGAAGTGAGTCACATAAATGTAAGGGATCCAGGAATCTGTCATCCTCAACAACAGCTGGAACTAAGGGGAGCTCTTTTAAGAACCTGAAAGAAAGCGTGGTATACACACCTAGAGAATGATAACGGGATCACCCATAGGAGAGGTTATGTAATACTGGGACTGTAAATGAGATTTGTATCACACCCTAACTAGCGTGTATTTTTAAATATTAGCATCCGTTTTTCTGAAAGTGTGACAACATAATACAATTCACGCAGATAAATTAGCATCACAGTAAAGGAGCCAGTAGTGTATTGCTAAGGACCCTAACTTATAATTCTGTATGGAGCCTTGGTCTGGTCGACCAAAACAACACTTATTACAGCTAAAAAAGAACTTTATTCAAAGGTTGTAAAGAACACATTCAAAGAATAGTTTTGCAATCTATATGATATAATTGCTGTATCCATTACCGGATTAATAAGAATCACACCAACAGTGGCATTGATCACACTAATTGGACTACCTCCATTATATCTAGAGGTTAAAGCTCAAGCCAAATCTACAGCACTAAGACTCCACAAGAATTACTAGCTAAGTTCAAGGAAATTACTTTAGCATTGGTACCAAGACACAGCGGTGTGACTGGTAATGAAAAAGCACTTTCTACAGAGGAAAGGTGCAGAAAACATCTATGTTGGACAAGAACCAGTTGTGGAACTCACGAATACCTCAAAGTACTGCCCAAACCTCTTGTAGAAAACAACACAGGGAAATCTTTACATAATGGGAGTGACAGAATCACTACTGTGCTGGAAGCGTGGAACAAAAGATTCCACATTATGTGTGACTGTGATACCTAAATACATTATGATCTTAACATTTGGGAAAATTTATTCTCAAAGAGATACTTAATTTTGTTAGAAAGACAGGAATCTTTGAATATATATAGATGTAGCCTAGTTAGATGTCTTTTATATAGTCTTAGGTATTCATCAATTATTTAAATTATATTATTATTAACTCATAATTATACTTATTTTCTATATGTATGTTTAAAGTTTTAAATATTTTTTAAAAAGTGAAAAAGTTCAATTTAAAAAAAAAATATGTCAAATGAAAGGGATATATATAAAATATTTATGAAAAAAAATTGTATTCAAAAAAATTATAGTAATATAAATTCAAAAATCTAGAATTTTAACAGAATAATAGTACATTTTTGAATACGGTAGCTATTTTTGTCATAAAGACAATTCCAGAGGTCAATTATTTTATTTAAATAAAATATATTACATAAGCATTAATTATATATATATGTGTCAGTATTTCTAGAATATTTCAAAAGTTAAGTTAAAAAAATTGCCATGTCAAATTTTCAAAAAAATATATCAAATGATAGGTAAAAATACCTAAGGTATCTACATATACATAAGGTATATTAACATTTTTTAAAATGTTATGGCAGTTTTAAGGGAAAAAGTTTTAAAAATGTCGAAAATTAACAATATTTAAAATTGTAATTTATAGGAAATTTCAGGATATTCTCTTATAAATTAATTCATAATATTATCACTAAATATTTGTTGTTGAAGCTGAGAAGTATTCATTATACCATGATGTATATTTTTTATGTCTGTTGCCACTTTTTCTAAGCTTTTCACAAGATTTCTTTCAAAAATTCATTAAAAAATCACAAATCGTATCTAGTTGAAGACATTGTACTTAAATTTGAAAAAAATTTCAAATAAATGGGGAAAATCTCAACAAAATTACAATTTTTAAAATCGTAAAATTTTGACATTTTTTCTCTTAAAACAGTCATAATTTTATGAAAAATGAACATACTAAAATAATTTTTTTTTTAATAGAAATCCTAGAAATTTTCCTTTTATTTGATATCATTTTTTTGAAATTCTGACCTGGTACCTACACACAGAGAAGGTTCAAAATAGAAACTTTTTCACAAAGTCAATTTTTTCAACTAAACTTTTGAAATTGTCCTGGAAATACTGTGTTCTTTAAACATATGTTAAATTAAAACTTATATTACATACTATAAATTAAAAAAAAAAATTTGTCTCGATGACTTATCTTCCACATAGAAATAGCTGCCATAGTTAAAAATATGCTATTTTTGAGTTAAATTTTCGATTTAAAATTTTTTCAATTTTAAATTGCTGTAACTTTTAAAAAATGTGTGGATCAACGCAAATTTTTGTTTCTAAATACTTTATATATACCCCTTTCTTCCGACATACTTTTTCTTTAAAATCCGACAGTTTCTCCTTATACAGGGGACATTTAAAACTTGAAACATACATAAAAAATTTAGACCTTTTTCAATTTAATTTTTGTTTATGTTTCAGAAATATTGCATCCTTTAAATATATGTTAAATTAATAATTTATTCATTTATTATACTTATATATCATAAAACTTGTAATGAGGATATAAATAAGGAAATAGGAGTTCATTATACTTTCGGAATAATCTACTAATTTTTTAAAATTAAACACTATCTACAGATTTGCATCGAAGCATTTTTTATAATCGTTATTTTAATCACTGTCAGATATCATCTATATTTGTCCCAACTATGACACGTCCAAACTGTGCTACCGTTTTTAATATAATTCAATGAATGCCAAATAAATCAACAAGTTTAATCTTAAATATATAACCTTAAAAAATTTAAATAATTACTTTTTTAAAAGATGATGGTGTTTTATTGTCATAATATTCGGCTAATGTCCAAAAATCATGAATATCTTCTATACTCAACTGAGATGGTAAATTTTTTAGCAATTGAATTAATTCAAGTTTCGGTTGATGTTTTAAAGAAAATACATAATCTCTAAAAAAATATTAACATTTTTACATAAAATCTATAAACAGATTTTAGAGTTGACACAATTTTTTAGTATTTTATATTTCTCTGACTACCCAATTCTTCTCTAAAAGTTCTATTTTTAAATTTATGTTATATTTTTTTAAAAAACATCCACAAAGCTATCATTGTTTACACAAATTGTTTAAATTATAAAAAAAATTAATAGATCTATTTGATTAAAATATATTTTACTGACCCAATAAAAATGTGCTGTGAAGGTAAACAAAATGATTGATAAAATTATTTTTATTTAGTCTAAATTTATAAAATTCAACAATATTATATCAATAAATGTGCTTTAACACAATAATTTTAGAAATTATTAAACATTTTTCATTTAATTTTGACATCAGATGTTAATCAGAGGTTAAAAAAAATGAATAAATAATGTTTTTTTATTTGGAAACACAGAATATTTTTGAGTTACAAAATTTATCATTATACTTTATTAAAAAATAATTACCTTGCATTTATTATAAAAACTAGAGCCAAAAAAAATATAAAGAATTTATCTTTTTTGGCAAAATATAAATCCCAAATTGTTAAAATAACATCTAAAGAACACATTTCTGCAAAAAGCGTCTGAACCTATTATAAAACAACAATTAAAAATCAGTTCACACTAAATTATATCTCTAGAAAATATAAAATATAAGTAACATTAAATATATTGAAATAAATTCAGCAATAAAAAGGTAGTTTACACACAATTTTATTAGTTATTTAATTTTTTAGGCTAGATATTGCGGTGTACCACAGGGAAGTGCTTAAAGACCGATCCTTTTTATAATAGACACAACTATCATTTGTAATATGGTAATTGATGGAAACATTGTTACTTATGTTGATGACACATGATTAAGTTTAAAATAAAGTGTTATTAGAATTAAATAAAATTTCAATTATGTAGCAAAAAAAAATATGTATCTCTAAAAATTATGTATGTAATTTATTTATAACTTTGTCAGTCTATATTTAATGGATTTAATTTTTAGTGAAGAGGTTCAATTGTAAAATTAATAAATATTTTTAATTATTAAAAAAACAACAAAATAGTGTTATACATATTTGCTTAAACAAGAAAAGCCTAAACAGATCAAATTGTAATGAACTTGTTGTTATTCCTATAAATTTGCTATATAAATGTTTTTTTATTATGATTTGTTAGGAAAATTTACATTGAAAACTTCAGTGGATAAAAAAACTTTTAATTTTTTCTCAAAAATTTTTAGACTAACGTACAACAAATTTCCAATAAAAACAAAGAAATTATCCTTACCAAAGGTGTTATTAATTTTAAAAATGTACTGAATGAAACATAATTTAATGATCTTTTAGAAATTGTTTAGTTCTAAAGTAATTACATCTACATAAATTTATATTCAGTTTAAGGATCTTTAATTAAATATTAAAATTGTTATAATTATATATATATATTGTATCTTACTAAATAGTAAGGTATGATAGAAGTATTTTTATCATAAGCTATAAGATTTCAGGAAGTAGAAAAAATAATATTGTAATAATTCTGTCTAAATTAAATTAAATAAAAAAGAAAAATATTAATATACATGTAGATATTTAATCTTATAATACATATTTCTTGTATAACAACTACTCAACATTATATTACAGGTTGCTTAATTATCATTGACAACTCAATTTTTCTTAAAATATTACATTATTGATATTTTTTTAATAAGCATATAGAGTGGCACAGATCTAACTTAAAACTATAAGTATTCTGAGAGTTTAATGCAAAATCAAAAATATTAACTTTAGTCACAAATTATATTATTATTATTTAATATTACTATACAGTTAAATATATTTTCCTTCCTTACCAATTTCTTTTTATATAACAATAAAAAAGTTTTCTATATTTTTGAAAAGCATTAAGTTTTCTAATTTTTCCCATTCAGATTAGAATAAAGGATTACAGAATTTAATCTAACCTCGCACATAAGTTCAAAAAATTCTATTATAAATTGAAATTTTAAACTTAATTTTGTTTTTTTCTTTTTTTTTAATACATTTTAATATTATCAATAAAATAACAATTAAATAAATCTAAGTGCTGAATATTTTGAGAATTGTAGAATAAATTTCTAAACTTAATAGAAATTAAAGTTTATACTTTTATAAAACATACAAAAATAAACTAAAAAAATTATAACTAAATATTTAAAAAAATATATTCTTAATTTTATATTGATTTTAAGAAAAATTGAGAAATCAATTATTTGGTATAATACTTAAACAAAACATACCCATATTTCACTATAAAGCTCTGGTCCCAGCTTTAAAGAGTCCAATAAATTACATAATTCTGGATCATGGTATAACAACAAAATTCTCAACAAGTGATAACAATCTTTATGTTTTGCAATATATTCTCTTCCTATAGCTCGAAACATAGAATATACATCAATACGGGGTAATTTCAATGATATTATAGGCCGTAGTAATGAAGGCCATCTATTGGATGAATCATATATATCTAAGTTTTGAATTTTACATGTTGTTATCAGTATAACTTCAGTGTCAGATAACAAACTTAACTTTTCTTCTTCATCCTCTATTTCTAAAGATGCTTTTCACAATAATAATTAAACTTACTATTAATTTAAAATTTGATAAAGGTTATTAAAAAAAATGAATAAGTCTATTTTACTAGGCAGTTATTATTTGTTTTTTAAACATGTGTTTTACTGTTTTTTTTTTCAAAACTGATTGAAAAAATGAGTGGAAATAAATGGTTTAAAAGTTAAAGAATCGTACAGTTGTCAATTTGGTTAAAAAGAAAAATATATACATTAAAAAATGATTGAATATTACAGATTTTCTATAAGATAAAAATAAAAACCGAGTACATTGCAGAAACAGACTTTCTTTTTTATTATAACTTAATAAAATAAAATGAAAAACAAATTCAAAAAGTTTAACCCAATTACAATATATTTAAAGTCTTTGAACTGGAAAATACAGAGACTAAACTATCTGAACTTAAAAGAAACGGAATAATATGATTATGATAATTAATAGAAATTGTTATTAAAAATTAACTAAAAGAAATTTTTTTTTTTTTTAATTTTTGGCTTATGATAGATTAAACAAGTATAGTTATAATCAACTTAACGTTAACCACTCTATTAATTTTCTTGACCCTGAAACTGGAGCAGATTCAAATACGATAGAAAACACATGATGTTATGCCAAAATATGTTTTTGAAAAATTGCAAACAATAGAACATCATAGAATTTTTAAAAATATGGACATATTATACAATTTAAAAAACACTGAGATAGAGTTTAGTGACAAAGAAAATGATGAGAAAAAATTTAAATTACCTAAATTATACTAAAAAATAAAATAAAAAGGAAAGTTAATAAAAATTAACTACTAACCTACAAAGCAAACTGATTCGTATGCCCATTGAATATGGTTATAAACGTTGTAAATTATCATAATTTATAAAGAACATTTCGCATCTATTATTTAAATGGATAAACCAAATATATTACAATAATTATAAATTCAGAAAAAAAAGCCACTCATTGATAATGACTATTTCCAATTAAAATTAGGTGACAAAATAATAACTAGAAAAATGCTATAACTTTTAAATCACTTAATTTTACAAAAAAATGTTTGTACACTTTATTAATCTACAATAAAAAAGGTAAAGTAGACTTATACCAAAAAAATTATTTACCAATTAATTTTTGACTGTCTTCTTTCAATTGTTCTACATTTCTTATAACAGGTCTTTCATCAAATAATGTTTGAATAGTATCATCTTCAAAAGTCAATAACTCTCTCCAAGTTTGTCCATGGCAATCATTTGTTAAAGCATTAAGATCATCCGATTCATTACTAATGGGAGATAATTCTTGTCCTTCAACTAGAGCTTTTTCCAAATCTTTTATCCTACAAAAGAATATAGACAGATATATCATTTATTATAATTCTAATAAATTAACATAAAATATGAAACACATACCAATGTTCATCATCATTAGACATTGCAACTAAAATTTGTACTAACACTGAAATACTGAGTAATAATATAGATGTTATTAGTTTTGTTTAATTATTTAATTATATTCATTTCTTAAAAAACATTAAATGTATTTTTGAATGTTTAATATCGAATTTCAAATAAAAATATAGTTTTCATTAAAAAAGTTAAAATTAAAACTAGGATTTAAATCATTATTTACTTTCAAAAAATGAATCAATAAGCTGAAAATAAGGTTCTAGTTATCTAAAAATTGTAAATATTATGATTACTTCGATATTATGATTAAAATCAAAAATATTATTACCTATATTAAAATACTCATTTATAACTTGTTCCATAAATCAATAAATAAATAGGTACTCATCCTATTTATTTTATCTAATTGACAGATAAGTGGCAATAAAAGTTTTAAATGGTTTATCTTTAATCATATAACTACTACTGAGAGTTTAAATAACAAAATAAATGTATTCCCAGTTTAAAGAATGATAAGGTTATCAAGTATTTCAAAATTATATATAAATCAGTATAACCAAACTAGTAAATTAAAATATTATTCAAATATAAATTGTTAATTTAATATGTATAAAACAATTTAGTATGTCCGAAAATGTATCATTTAAACAAGTTATTTCAAATGTATTTTCATACATATTACATATTACTTGATAACTTTCAACTTAAGTGTAACATTATTCGGTATTTTTAATATTGGCAGATTATATTTTAATTGTACTTTTTATATTTTATAATTATAATTATGAAATAATATTAAATTTAAGCAATTCTGTATGCTTATAAAATATATAGTTTTCCATTGTGTAAATCGAATTCCACTTATATTCAATCCTTTCATAGATTCCCAAACGACACCAATTTGTGAGTATTTATATTTATTAACTTTATATATTTATGATTTATAATGACACCATCTAACTAAGCAATGCTGTATCGAGTATTCTAAAATACTTTAGTGTGCGTCTTATACTAAAGCACTAAACATTTAGTTACTATAAATATAAAAAAGAACTATAATTAATAGAACTCAATACATAACATTTAATTACATATCTTGATTTAGTCAAAACTTTTAATAGTTGTACAGACAATCTATCTAATAGCCTAATAAAATGTGTAAATCGTCTAAATTTCTAAACCTTAAGTATTACCAAGAACCAGGATGCCTGGTAATTATAGGAATTCAAATGGTATTATCGGATAGTGTAAATTTTGGTATAAATTTTAATTTTTTAACAAAGAATGTTTTAAGTATGCTCAAATAATTTAAACAAAATAATTTTAGTAAATAATCTGCTAAGACTAAAGGGTAATATAACTTAACTATTTTTGTAGTTTAAAACATTTCTTAACAATATTTTCATATAACTATTTTTGACAAAAATTGAAATAAATCAAAATAATAAATAAATACCAGTGTACTCTATAGAGTTGAATATTACTTGAAATATTTACTTGAAAAATGAGGTTATACTACTTTTAAAATGCTTATTCAGTGAACATTTCTCAAAATAATCTCGACTCACTTTCAAAAATTTATCTTGGTATAGTTAATCTCTGGTGTACAGATATACTAACAATTAATCAGTATTTGGAAAAAACGTCGTTCGTGAACGTGTATTCATGCGCCTACGTACATATCTAGTCATTCGTTTGTTTCAAATAGAACGTAAATGTAAACAAAATTGGCATTTTTAGTGATTTTAACGTTTTAATACTATTTACATAACTAACAATAATATTATAATCCGGTGTAAAAATTCTGTCAAATCAATAAGGTAGAGACGACTTCAAATAGCTTGGATAGAAGATCTAATTGTAAGTAATTTTTCAAAATCCTCATACATCATCTCGAATTGATAATGAAGGTAGAGAAAATTTTATCTTATTGATATGCTCTCTTATAATAAACTTCAATTACGTCAGTAAAAGAATGACTTTTATATTTTTTAGCTTCAATGCGAAGCTGAGAAGATATTAATTTTACTATGATATGTTTTTTTTTGTCTGTCGCCACTTTTTCTTAGCTCTCACTGAACCGATTTCTTTCATCAATACGTCAAAAGATCACAAATTATATCTAGTTGAACATATTACTCTTTGAAATTGAAAAAAATTCTTAGATTCCTATAAATGAGAGAAATCCAACAAAAAAATTCTATTTTTAAAATCAGTAATTTTCTTTTAGCTTCGATGCGAAGCTGAGAAGGAATTGGTTTTACTAAGATGTGTTTTTTTTTTTTTGTGTCTGTTACCACTTTTTCTCAGCTCTCACCGAACCGATTTCTTTCAATGATACGTCAAAAGATCACAAATTGTATCTAGTCGAAGACATTACCCTCAAAAATTGAAAAAAATGCCCTCGTTCCCCGTAAATGGGGGAAACCTCCATAAAAATTACAAATTTAAAAATCGCTAATTTTTTCAATTTTTTTTACTTAAAAGTGCCATAACTTTTTCAAAAATAAACATATCAATATACATTTTTTTTATATAGATGCATAATATCATTACCTTTCATTTGGTATATTTTTTTTTTATATGTGACCCTTTACTTGCCCATAAGGAGGTTTTTGAAATGACAACTTTTTCACAAAAAATTAATTTTTTCAACTTGACTTTTGAATATGTTCCGGAAGGTCTGACACTTTTATATATATCTTAAATTAAAGGTAATGTAATATACTTTATTATGGTAAAAAAAAATTTCGCACATTATTTTATCTTCATGGTGAAAACAGACATTAAAGTTAATAAAAAAAATACGATTTTTGTAAACAAATTCTTTTTTATATTTTTAACTTTATAATTCTATAACTTTTTGAAAGATGTATGGATCAATATAATTTTTTTTTTTATATCTGACCCTTTACCTGCCCACAGGGAGGGATTTAAAATGACAACTTTTTCACAAAAAATTAATTTTAATGAAGAAAAAGAAGATTTCGGTATAGGATAACATAAATGTTATTTAGTAATTTGGTCACACTGATTTACCTAAATTAAAATGGACCACTTATTTAACCACCTCTATATATTGGCCATGCACATTTTTATCAGTGTTAATTCTGTATATTTTGTGATATCGTTATTGTGATGCAAAAATATGTTGTACAAATATATACGGTTTATTTATTTTGATTCTTGATCACACTGATATGAGTGGATAAGTTTTTCTTATTTATTAAGTAATTACTCTATGGTCTTATTTTATAATATTTTTCATAGAATTCGATAAAAGATGAAAAGTTAAAGAATCTATTCAAGTATGAGAAATTATGACTTTTAAAATTTATCATACTCGACAAATATATTGCAAATAAAAACTGTAGCTGATAAAAAGTTAATAATAAAATAACTTTGAACATTTTAAAATTATTTTATCAAATAGGCAAAGACTACAAGAAAAGGTTTTTTTTTTGTAGACCTACAATTTCTCGAGGGTTATACTCTTGTCCAAAATAGAAAAATGGTGACCAAAATTTATATTATCTAAACTACGTCTGATGATATTGTCAAATAGGTTGTAGTTCATGTTTTTGAAGTCACTAAATTTGAATTAATATAAATTTTCTAATTAAGTGAGATAGTGAGTGTTTTTTTTTTAAATGACATATTTATTAATACAATTTTGCAATTCCAATAAGATATAAATTTTAGCTTCGATGCGAAACTGAGAAGGTATTAATTTTACTAAGATGTGTTTTTTTATTTATTTATTTTTTTTGTGTCTGTGACGCTCAATCTCAGCTCTCGCTGGACCGATTTTGATGAACAATATGTCAAAAGATCACAAATCGTATCTAGTCGAAAACATTATCCTCAAAATTTAAAAATAACCGAATGATTATATATTTTTTTCTTTATAGATACCTTAGGTATTTAGCTATCATATATATTTTTATGAACATTTGACCCTTTACTAGCCCACAGGAAGAGTTTCAAAATGGTAACTTTTATACAAAACATTAACTTTTGAAAATGTTTCAGAAATACTGACACTTTTATATATATATATATATTTTAAATTAAATAATATGTAATATATTTTAATTTGAAAAAAAAAATTTGGCCTCTGGATTTGTCTTCATTGTAAAAATGACTACCGTATTCAAAAATATGCTATTTTTGTGTTAAAATTCTGGGTTTTTTATTTTATTTTATTTTAAAATACCTAAGAAGATATTTTTTTGTGACTATCATTTATTTTCTCTGCTCTAACTTGACCTACTTTTTTCAACGATATGTCAAATGACTACAATTCGTATCTAGTTGAAGATATTACTCTCAAAAATTGAAAAAAAAATTCTAATNTAAGTTATTACTCTTAAAAATCGAAAAAATATTCCTTATTCAAATAAAAAGTAGCTTAACCAGCTTTTTCCATACAAACAATTAAAATCATTAATTTCTAATATTCTTAAAGTATTTATTGTCGAATTAGATTTGATATGATAAAAGTATTCAATTACAAGAGTAAATAATTTTACATTGTAATTTATTAATTTTTTAACTCTTTTTGTGTGTGCTACTACCAATCTATAATATTCCAAATATGTTGGTAACATGTTGCTATATAAATAATTTCTAAAAAAAATTATTGTTAGTTTCACATAAATTTAACAATTAATTTTTACAATTATAATCAAATTTTATAATACGCTTAATTAAGTAATCTTTTGAACAATTTTTTTTTATTGGTTCTTTTAGTTAAAGTAAATCGTTAAAATTAATTAAGTTCTGAATATTTCCATTGTAGAATCTTTTTAAACACCAAAAGTTAATTAGAAATGACTACTATGATTTTTATTCAAGTGATCTATTACTATAAAAATGTAAAAAAAATCGACCTTCTCTGATAAATTTACCGAAAATAGTAATTAAAAAATTTGCAAACTCCATATTAATTTTAACAATACTATTTTTTTCTATTTAATAACGTCAATTTCAAACTTGCAAGTTAAGCTAAAAGTTATGGCAATACATTTTTTTTTTTTTTTTATTAAAACTTTCACTTTAAAGAACAAAAAAAAAAGGTTCAAAATGATTATTTTTAACATATTAAAAATCAAAATCAATAATAATTTGAAAACAATTAATTTTAAAAATTATATAATATATAATTAAAAGAATTACTAATCTGGGTATAATTAAGGAAATAGAAGTTGATGTAACTTTTGTAATTATCCATAAATTTTTTAGAATTAAACACTATCTATAGATTTGCATCGAAGCGTTTCTTATGATAGTGATTTTAATCACTGTCAGATTAAATCTATACTGGACTCAACTATGCAACGCCCCCACTGTGCTGGGTTTTTGTTGTTCTTAATTATTTTTTTTTTATATTTAAATATTTACGTTTTAATAGTAAGTAATAATATTAAAACTTAGAAGCAATAAAAAAATCCAGCACAGGGGGGTCGCGGCACAGTGGTGACGTGGTATAGATGGATCAAGTATAATGATATCTGACAGTGATTAAAATCACTATAAAAAAAAAACGCTTCGATGCAAATCTTTAGATAGTGTTTAATTTTAAAAAATTGGTGGATTATTCCNGTAATAAAATTGGTGGACTATTCCAAAAGCTACATTATAGGCTAGTTCATTATTAATATCCTAATTAAGATAAAGTATGTAGAATGAAAAAGGGATTATTAAAAAATATTATTTCTCATAAAAAAATAATGTTGATCCATACACTTTTCAATATGTCATAGCATTATAAAGTTAAAAATGTAAAAAATAAAATCGAGAATTTTCACACAATAATAGCATTCGGTAGCCATTTTCACCGTGAAGATAAAATAAAGT